AACATATGTATTGATGTTGTTTTTCAAGATTTGGTAGTTTTTATCGGTCCAAGTGTTTTCAATTCGTGGCGTGACGCTCCGAGATTTGTCTGAAATTTTGAGCTTCAAAAGCGCCATTTGGTCGAAATTCAGTTATGATCGATTTTCTCGAAAATAAATCGATATTCAGCCAAACGAAGTATGCAGTGCTTTGTTTCACCATAAGGCCTACCTAACTTGAGAATATGAGCTGAATCGATTTTTTGGCTGTTGCCACCAAATGTTTGACCGTTGGTAACATTCGCTCTTAAGTCAAGCTGCGGTGACTTATTTGGGACGGTCCAGGACTCAGATGTAAAATTTAGGTATGTACGATTTTGCTTTTTGAAGAAAGAGAAATAACAATAAACCTCGATATATGTGCTTCACATTCATCAAAACAGAAGTCGAGTGCACTTTGGTTTAGTGCGAGTGCTCGGCCATCGTTGTTGTGACTTGTTGCATCATTGATTCTGCCAGCTATTGATTTGTTTTTAAGTATTATATTCATGAAGGTCCTTTTGTTTTTCGTTTCAGCTCGTGAATGATCATTATTTTGCGACAAAGGACTGTCAAGTAAGACAGCTGACAAAAGCTTATTAAAAAATAATATTGTAAAAATAACAACAACCAGGACTCTGAAGAAATTCATTCTGAATGGGTCGGCTTGGCGAGCGAACGAATGTTTTATCGTGTCCGGGAAAACTCGGATCAATAAAGAATTATTTCGACCTCAACGATCATTTTTTGTGGACATTTATTGCGAACAGGATTGCCCTTGTGTCAAAAAACAGAAGAGCGCGCCCTTCAAATCAAGCAAACAAACAACCGGCGGTTAAAGTTTGTGGAAGTTTGTTCCCTGAAATTGTTGCAGAAGTTACCACTTCAGTCTAATACGTGTCATTTTCTTTCATATTCACGTAGAAATTGCAGATGGGATTGAAGTAAATGTTATTTCATCCGGATCGCTACTTTCCACGAGGCGCCTTTTAGACATCTTAACGGAAACGGATAGACTTTAATAATTTGTGTGTGTGTGTGTGTGTGTGTGTGTGTGTGTGTGTGTGTGTGTGTGTGTGTGTGTGTGTGTGTGTGACCATCTCACCGTGATTAAGACTGCCCTTGAATGGAAAAGCTACAGAGCGCCCTTCAAATCAAGCAAACAAAAAACTGGCGTCTCAAGCTGATCAAACTGTACATGTTTTCTCTGAAATTTTTAGCAGAACTACTTCTAATATGAGACATTCCCTTTGACATCATGTGGAAATTGCAGATGAGATTGAAATATAAAGACGTTATTTAATTAGTCGCTACCTACACGAGGTGTCCTATATACATCTCACCGGAAACGGACAGAAACACCGAGAGCAAAATACGTGTACGACATGTCTGTCGAAAATCAGATTTGTGAAACAGTAATACGATAAGTCAGTAATGTCTCTTTTGAAATTTTGAATTCTGTTCTGGCGTTCCCTTCGCATTTTAACATGGTCGCCACGAAAAAGCTGAAAGAAAACTAAAGCATCACCTTAGAAAAAGTATCGTCTCAATCTTGTCTTTGCCACGTCAGACTGATTTGGTTTTGTCTAAACCAATCTTATCAGAGTAAATGGTATAGACAAATCTATCCATGGCCCGGACTGACAATCGGTTCAGGTTAAGCTCATGATAAGTGGAAATAATGTTGTTTTCTAGGATAAAGAAATTAGTTTGGGGCTTTTCATTTCCAAACAGAAAAACTAGGCTGAAATTGCGAAATTCACAACATCGTCATTTACGTCACGACACAATCTAATTAGGCATTCTCTTGTTGAAACCGGAATTCTGAGCAAATTTTAGCAGTTAGCATGATGTTCTATAAGGAAACCAATACAATAAACTAACTTTGCGAAGCTAATTTGGTTTTTTTCCCTGCTTTCGTTTCAACTTTTCATTCATTCCCCATGGCGATATTATTTACGATAACACACTCCGTAAGCTAGCGGAAGGCTTTTGTTTTTCTTCGCATATTCGAACTCATTACAGTTTTCAGAAATTCTAGGATAAAATTGAGCTTCGTCGTAGACTTAAAGACATTTCAATCGATCCATTATAAAAATAATAATAGTAATAATAATTTGTATAGCGCAAATTCTATGCAATGTTCAAATGCGCTTCACAATAAAATGACGCAGTAATAATACAACTATTAAAAAAAATAAAATAAATACTAGAACTACATACAAATACTAATGTTATACTAACACTGCTATAATATCGTGTTCAGGCTAAGATAAAAATGCTAAACGAAAAAGGTGTGTTGTTAACTTTGACTTAAAAATATCCAATGACTTAGAGTTTCTAACTTCGAATGGTAATGCATTCCAGAGTTTTGGAGCTGCGCAAGTAAAAGACCTGTCACCAAGTGTCACTTTATATTTGAATCCGGGTTGCTTAAGCAAGAGGGTGTCACAAGAGCTTCTCAGGTTATAGCATGACTGAGACTTTGGAGAAATCAATGAATCCAAGTAAGTGGGAGCTGAGCCATGCAAGATCTTGAAAGTTAATAGAAGAATCTTGAATACAATTCTAGACCGAATCGGCAACCAATGCAACTTGATTAGGAGAGGTGTTATGTGACATTAACTACACTCAGCAAATATCCGTCTAGCACAGGCATTCTGCACACGTTGTAATTTGATCAATGAGCAGTTTGGCAGACCATACAATAAACTGTTACAACAGTCAAGACGACGAGATATGAAAGCATGAATAAGTGACTCTGTTGACTGTTTGGAGAGATACTTCCGGATCCGACGTATGTTATACAAATAGTAGAAGGATGATTTACAAGTTTTTGGAATATGGTCCGACAGAGACATATTGGCATCAAACCATGAACCAAGGTTCCTAGCAATAGGCAGAGGGTGAATATTGGTATTGCCCACGCGAATATGAGTGATAACTACCTCATCAAGCTGTTGCGATGTACCGATAATAAGAAGTTCAGTCTTTTCATCATTTAGTTTTAGCTTGTCGTGTAACATCCAAGCACGAATTATACCAATGGGTCAACAGTCTTTTGCCGGAGACATTGAAGACAGGCGGTAATCTGGAAATAGTTTAGATTTAACACACTCAAGTGTTTGTCACGCAAGGCTAAACCAGGAGCCTATTACTTCTCTGGCTAAACTTATTGCGATCAGTATAAAGTATTCTCCTGCTCCCTTCCTGCAATACTTTTTCGGCCACAAATATCCGTCGCGTCAATAAAGCTTTTAACAAACTTGTTCTTATGAT